GACATGCCCCCCCCCCCCCCCCCCCGCGCACCCCTCCCGCCCCTCCCCAGGCACGTCCCACACGAGGAGGAGCCGGCCCGCGTGGCGGCGGAGATCGACGCGTTTCTGGCCCGGTGCTTGCCGGGCGGAGAACGAGCCGGCTGCGGCTCCGGTGCCGCTGCCTAGGTCTCCGCGTCGCTGTACTCCCTGGCCGCTAGCGTGCACCTGGCTCGTTTTTTTTCTGGTGGCAGAGAGAGAGGTTGACCAACAACCGTGCAAAGCAGGTCAGCAGATCACGCCACGAGACGGGTCTCAGGAGGTCACTTTTGGACGTTGCGTTGGGGGCCTACCGCGTCTGTTTTCTTTGTGCTGCGGCTTGTTTGAGAGACAAAAGATGACTGCTGCCGGCACACTGTGAGACCATGACAAGTCTCACGTGGAAAAAGCACCAAAAACTACCAAAAACGATGCCACGGCCAGAGGAGAGCATACCATGTTCAAACTCCGCACTTTAATTCGAACTTTCTCGCCTCGGATCGTGGGGCTCGGGAGCAGTCAAGCAGGTGTGCGGGGTGGGCGGGAGGGGGCCTGGGAGCATTTTTTTGCATTTCCGAGGCGAGCGTGGGCCGTGGTGGGCCCCTCCGGGCCTCTCTCAGCAGCACGGAAAGTAGCGCGCGACAGAGCGCTGTTCTCGGCCCCCTGAGCGTATTGGGACGAGCCAGACTAGCATGCACATCGCCTTGGCACGTAGGACGCACGACTTACCCACGCACACCCCGGTGACAATCTTGGAAATCTCCCGACAATCTCCCCAAATCTCCTCCCGCTCTCGCGAGTAGCGCGGCGCAGCGGGGCGCGTTGATGTCGATGAATGCAGTGTGGACTCCTTTTCGACACTCTCTAGCACCGGTGAACACACAGGCGTTGCTTCCGAGGTGGTAAAAATCTGTGAATGCCCGCCGAAGTTGTCGCGGTTTTCCGACTTGTCTCGTGCTCGAGCCATGCCGAAAAGAGCGGGCGCAGGCCTGGGACAGCGTCGCAAAAGCGGCCAAGGAGTCCGTCCCGGCTCCAGGCCAGGACCAGATCGCCGCTCGGTACCGCCAGTTTGCGACTCTGTGCCTGCGCAGTCGTCGCTATCTCACGCTTCCGATCTCGTCACAACAGGCGCCCTCGCCGAGTGCAACGTCCTCGCGGCCGCAAAGCCGTGCTGGCTCGCGCAGAGTCGGCGTCGCAAAGAACCTGAGAGCACCGCGGCATGCTACGGTTGGCGACGTCCTCGGCGAGGCCATGGAGCTGCATAGCACGAGCGACGAGGGCCGCCGCGACGGGATCTACAACCAGAGAGAGCACGGACGCCGAGGATCGCTCTCCCGTGCAGCGCCGCAGCGGCTCGTCGGCGGCTCGTCGGCTGCGGCCTCGAACGGAGATCGCATGGAGGTTGACGAGGAACCTCCCTCTCTGAGCAGTGCTCCA